GAGAATCGCTTGAACCCAGGAGGAGGAGGTTGCAGTGAGCTGAGATTGTGCCACTGCACTCCAGCCTGGGTGTCAGAGTAAGACTCTGTCTCTCAAAAAAAAAAAAAAAAAAAAAAGTGAAGCCAAATGTCAAACTGGGAAAAATGTGTGAGATGTATGACAAAGGGTTAATATCTTTAATATATAAAGACTTCTTACCAACGAATAGAAAAACTTTGCACCTATACTACCATTACAATGATGTGACAATTATCTGGACAAGGACAGGCAAGGAATGCAACCCAGACAGATAAAGTTTCAGGGAGTGGAGTGGCATTATTGAGTGTAATCATAGTGTGTATTTGTCTGAAGGCAGTTTTGATAAGCACCTTCAGGCTGTTTAGTGCTGAGGTAAGCGATGGCCCCGGGCAGCTGGGAATACTACAGAGGGAAAGCGGAGCGGGGAGGGGCATTGAGCAAGCGAGGACAAGTTAGAGTCCCGGGGGAAAACCAAACTTGGTTGGGACTGATCATTTAAACTTGGATTCAGCTGACCCCAAATTAATTTCTATAGAGTTCTTCAGGAATATATTACTTGTATAAATCAGGGTTTGCCCAGAAGAGGCCATGGAGACAGGCTAGCCCATGGAAGTGGAATATTTTTTTTAATTTTAATTTTTAGTTCTGTGATACATGTGCAGGATGTGCAGGTTTGTTACATAGGTGAACACATGCCATGGTGGTTTGCTACACCTATCAACCCATCACCTAGGTATTAAGTCCAGCATGCATTAGCTATTTTTGAATTTTAAGGGCCTGAGCAGGGCTAAGAGAAGATACAGCACCTCAGCCCTGCTAGGATTCTGGGCCTGCCGCCACTGTACAGATATAACTGTTACCCATCCAACCTTATTTGAACTAGTCTGATTTTTCTTTGATCAAAATTGGCTTATTCTAGGCTAAGTCAATTACTCACTTTGGAACCTCTGATTCTAGGATTTTGCCTCAGTGGTCTCACTAAGGTGCCACCCTTTTTTTCTTTTTTCTTTTTTTTGAGACGGAGTTTCACTCTTGTTGTCCAGGCTGGAGTGCTATGGCGCAATTGCTCACTGCAATCTCTGCCTCCCGGGTTCAAGCGATTCTCCTGCCTCAACCTCCCGAGTAGCTGGGTTTACAAGCAAGTGCCACCACACCCAGATAATTTTGTATTTTTAGTAGAGACAGGGTTTCTCCATGTTGGTCAGGCTGGTCTCAAATTCCTGCCCTCAGGTGATCCACCCTCCTGGGCCTCCCAAAGTGCTGGGATTACAGGTATAAGCCACTGCGTCCGGCCCGATGCTGCCCCATTTTAAATGCAGTTCCTTCCTCAGCGAGGGAGTCAGGGATGCTGGACCCTTGTTAGCTATAGTTCCTAGCTTATGTTGGTCCTATCCAGTCTGCTTCACTGAGGTAAGGCACAGTGTGGAAAGCAAGAGTGGCATCCTTGCTGTGGAGGCAGGAAGGACAGGGAGCATTATTAGCAGGCTGCATTTAATATTCTACTCTCTGCTGGTCTTGGAGGAAGAGAGCCACAAGTGATATAATCAGGAAGTCAGGAAAGAAGAGGGAAGCCTCATCTGGAGGCTTTTTTCTTTTTTACTTTTTTTTTTTTTTGACAGAGTCTTTCTGTGTCACCCAGGCTGGAGTGCAGTGGCGTGATCTCAGCTCACTAAAACCTCTGCCTCCCAAGTTCAAGTGATCCTCCTGCCTCAGCCTTCCGAGTAGCTGGGATTACAGGCACCTGTCACCACTCCCAGCTAGTTTTTGTATTTTCAGTAGAGGCGGGGTTTCACCATTGACCAAGCTGGTCTTGGACTCCTGACCTCAAGTGATCCACCCACCTCAGCCCTCCCAAAGTGCTGGGATTACAGGCGTGAATCACTGCACCTGGCCTGGAGGCTTCTTAAAAGACCAAAAAACAGGATGGGAATTAGGAGGCAGCCTGGGCTCAAGCCAAGAGCTCTGAGGTTAGCAGCAGAAATGCCACAGCGTGGGGGTTTTTGCACAGTATTTGTGTGAGCAGTCGGAAGCTCCTTGGAAACCTGGCATCACTTGGGGTCGGTGTTTTTTGCTGTTGTTACCCACCCACAAACACTGCAAAGCATTCCACCCCGCATCCCACTCGGATAACTCCTCACCTGCATCTTTCTCTTCACGGTCTCAAAGGGAAAGGAGAGGGTCTGGGTCACTGCAGCAGCCAGACAGACATTAGCAAAGTTCTGTGGGAGAGAAAACTGATCTCGGGGTCCATTCCAGATTTTCTCCAGGTTCATGTGAACAAGAAGGGAGCCAGCAGAGAACGGCAGAGCACCTGTGAAACAAGGCCAGGGAAAGGTTGCTGCTGTGTTGGGAAAACACTGGCTTGAGAACATAAATTCCTGGGAGGATTCCGGGGAAAGAAAACAGGAGGGGCTCTGGGGTTGCTAAAATCCCTCCAACTCAAGGAGCATGGGGGAACTTTCTTGAGTGACGATAATGTGCTATATTTTGGTAGGGGTTGTGTCATTTGTCAAAATGCATCAAATGGTTCACTAAAAGTTTGTCCACTTTACTGGATGTAAATTGTACTTTAAAAAAGAACCATACGGCTGGGTGTGGTGGCTCATGCCTGTAATCCCAGCACTTTGGGAGGCCGAGGTGGGTGGATCACGAGGTCAGGAGATTGAGACTACCCTGGCCAACATGGTGAAACCCCATCTCTACTAAAAATACAAAAAGTAACTGGGTGTAGTGGTGGGTGCCTATAATCCCAACTACCTGGGAGACTGAGATAGGAGAATCACTTGAACCCGGGAGGTGGAGGTTGCAGTGAGCCGAGATCGCTCCACTGCACTCTAGCATGGGCGACAAGAGAGAAACTCCATCTCAAAAAAAAAAAAAAAAACCATACACAAATATTGAACTCTAGTTAATAACACACATGTTGAAGGGTTTAGGGGTGAAGTATACTGATATTTGCAAGTTACACTGAAATCATTAAAAAAAAAAAAAAAAAAGTGGACTGGCTGAGCACAGTAGCGCATGCCTATAATCCCAGCACTTTGGGAGGCCGAGGTGGGCAGATCACTTGAAGTCTGGAGTTCGAGACCAGCCTGACCTCGTCTCTACTAAACTCCATCTCTACTAAAACGGAAACTCTGTCTCTACTAAAAATACAGAAAGTAACTGGGTGTGGTGGTGCGTGCCTGTAATATCAGCTACTTGGGAGGCTGAGGCATGAGAATCGCTTAAAGCTGGGAGGCAGAGGTTGCAGTGAGCCGAGATTGCACCACTGCACTCCAGCCCGGGCGACAGGGATGAGTAGCAAAATGTTAATTGTAGCATCTAGATGGTCCATGGATGTGTACTCTATATTTCTTTTAATTTTTCTAAATATTTGAAGCTTTTTTTTAATGTTTGGGGAAAAATCACTCAGGTAAAAAAAGTCAGTGGGCAGCACCTCATTATGTTTTGGAGGACAGGAGGGACTGCTCTCTAGCTGAGAAGGAAACATTCTGTGAAAACTGGAAAGTGAGAGACTCTCGGTGGTGAGGGAGGTCACCTGACCTCACCTTTGGGAATTACGTGGTCATATCATGGCCCAGTGGGCACCCTACACTGTGTGGCTTCCTCACCTTTCTAAGAACTGAGATGGTAAGTAATATAGTAGGTGGCACTTTCACAAACTTCCAGAAACTTTAGGAGCCATCTTTAGTTTACAGAGGGACTACATTTCTCCCTCAAAATGAAATTTAAAATAGGGGATAATACAAGTGAGATTGCTTATCTTTAGAAAAATGTAATGTTTATTTAATTGGCTCACCAACCTTCCATTTACCTTCATTCAGAAAACATCTGGAAAGCTTAGGTTATGTGCCGGGCCCTGTGCCAGGCGCTGGGAATCCAAAGAGCAACAGGCTAATTTCTGGAGATGCTCATCATCGAGGAGAAGAGACAGTCAGGGAAAAGTAAGTATAACGCCCCTGATGTGTGCCACAACAGGGGGGCTATATGAAATGCATTAGGTACACAAGGATCAAAGGGATTAATTTTGCCTGGGGGTTCAGGAGGGACTTGATGGAAGAGAGAACTTTTGAACTGGATCTTGAGGAATGAGTAGGAGTTCATCAGACTTTGACAGAGTGGAAAGGCAAAGGGAACAGCATGTTTAAAGGGAGTCATATTTCCAGGAAATCCAGGTTTTTCTGAATGGCTGGAGGATGAATGCAGGTGGAGGTGTGGCAGGAGATGAGGTAGGACAGACTGGCAGGGGCCAGGTCTGAAGGATCTGGAATGTCCTAAGGAATTTGGGCTTTCTCCTGTAGCTCAGGAGTCGCTGAACACTTTTAAGGACAGCAGTGAAATGAGGGCCATGAAACGATGAAATTGCATGTGGAGAGATCACCTCAGCCGGGCAGCAGTGCACGGGGAAGACTGGGGCAGGAGAGACCAAGAGTGGAAGCAGGTAGGAGCCGGAGTCTGCGGGAGACCCTGAGAGTGTGAGTCGTAAGGATCTGTGGGAAAGAGGATGAGTCAAATCGACAGAGCTTGGTGATTCACGTGGGGGTGGAGTGAGAGAAGAAGTTGAAGTGATCCCTAGGTTTTTTTTCTGGCTTGGGCCATGGGGTGAAAGGAAGGTAGTCTCATTCATTAGGGAACACAGGAGGAAGAGCTAGTTTGAGACCAATGAGGACATCAGGGTTAATCTTGAATTTGATGTGCCTAGGGAGCATGGGGTGAAGGTGTCCAACAGCAGGGACTCATACTACCATTGGGAATTGGTATCAGTCAGGGGCTAACAGAGGGCTCTGGAGTTCTATGGCTAGTTTCTCCCACTTTCTATCTATGTGGACTTGGGCAGGTCACTTAGCTTCCTGAAGCATCTATCTCCTCATCTGTAAAGTAAGGCCTCATGAGAAAGTGCATGCAATGCTTTTGGCACAGTACCCAGCATGTGGTAAGTACTTTCCCCCAAAAGTTGGTCATTGTTACTAAAGAGGTAGAGAATGAGGGTCACAGAGTACACTGACGCTTGTTTAAGCCACTAGCACAGATGAGGCCACCTAGGGAGGGTTTGGAGGATGAGAAGCAAGCTAAAGGGGAGGCTAAAATGAAAGCTAAGGAAGGAGCCCAGGGGAAGAGCAACGTGTAGGGGCTGGCAGTATCAGATGAGCCAGGTGGGCCGGATAAGTCAGATAAGAAAGAGCTGCCAGAGAGATGGGAAGACACCCAGGACTTGGACGGGTCCTCGAAGCCAAGTTTCCAGAAGAAGGGGTGGTCAACCTTATCAAATTCAGATAAAGGGCAAAAGTCCGCTGGATTTTGCAATTGGGCCATAAATGTGTAGCTCTGGCAAAGGTTACAAAGACCCCGGAAGACACAGTTGTTACCCTAGTTGCCCTCATGGCATATCAATGCGTATGTACACGGAAGACTCCTTCTGCAGTCAGATGGAGAGTGGGCAGAATTGCATTCTTACCGGTTTGCTGAGTCACCTCCACTTTCCGTTCTACTCCCCTCCCGGGGATGTAACTGGCCACAGTTTAGGAGTGAAGCGTATGGCTATGGAATAGAATGAAGCTAATTGGCTCTATGTAGGTTGAACCCATATAACCTTGACCTCAGTAAAACTGATTTAGTGGCTCACAAAGGTATACAATACATTTGTAATTTCAGAGGACATAGCCTTTTCTTGGACAAGGTGAAAAGGTCCATCTTACCTACAACAGTGAGGGAAACCCCTCGATAAAGGGCAAGGAACCCTTCCTGTTGGTAAATAGTAGAAAAAGCATGGAGGAGCCCCCTGTACGATGGTTCCAGCATGTTCTGCACGATCAACCGGGTTTTGATGAGGTCTGTAGGATATGTTACAATGGTGGAAACCATGCCTGCGAGACTCCCAGCCATGATGGAGCTCCACTGGGAAATATGGCCCAGGTCATCTGTGAACATCACAACAAACCTGGGAGAAAATAGGGGGAAAGGCCAGAGGAATCAGCTATGGATTGTGCTAGAGTTCTCTCCACTAGTTCTTGAAATATTTTCCAGCATTTCAAAGAACTTTACAAAGTGAGAAGTTACTATAGTACTATATAAGCATTCATGAATAACACATTTACATTTTTCTATATTTATATGATGCTAGTTGGCTATAAGAGATGCCTAAGTTTCTTATTTACATCTATCCCAAGTCCTTCCCACTTAAAGCATTTTCTTTTTTTTTTTTTTTTCTTTTTTTTGAGACGGAGTCTCGCTCTGTTGCCCAGGCTGGAGTGCAGTGGCGGGATCTCAGCTCACTGCAAGCTCCGCCTCCCGGGTTCATGCCATTCTCCTGCCTCAGCCTCCCAAGTAGCTGGGACTACAGGCGCCCGCCACCGCGCCTGGCTAGTTTTTTGTATTTTTTAGTAGAGACGGGGTTTCACCATGTTAGCCAGGATGGTCTCGATCTCCTGACCTCGTGATCTGCCCGTCTCGGCCTCCCAAAGTGCTGGGATTACAGGCTTGAGCCACCGCGCCCGGCCAGCATTTTCTACTTTTAGCTACGTAATTGTCGATCCTGGCTTGCCTATAGGGTGTAAATGCACAGAAGTACCTGGTAAATACCAACAGGAATGCAGTCTTTTAGTTCAGCTGAAACTTAAAAGGAACAAAATTTCTTGAAATGATAACTTTGAGCATCTCAGTAATTCCGTTGTTTTTTCTTTCTTTCTTTTCTTTTTTTTTTTTTGAGGCAGAGTCTCACTTTGTCGCCCAGGCTGGAGTGCAGTGGCACGATCTCAGCTCACTGCAACTTCTGCTCCCCAGGTTCAACCAATTCTCATGCCTCAGCCTCACAAGTAGCTGGGACAACAGGCACACATCACCATGCCCAGCTAATTTTTGTAGTTTTAGTAGAGATGGAGTTTCACCATGTTGGCCCGACTGGTCTCAAACTCCTGACCTCAGGTGATCCACCCCCGCTCGGCCTCCCAAAGTGCTGGGATTACAGGCATGAGCCACCGTACCTGGCCCAGAACTGGGCACTTTGGGAGGCCGAGGCAGGTGGATCACCTGAGGTCAGGAGTTCGAGACCAGTCTGGCCGACATGGTGAAACCCCATCTCTACTAGAAAATACAAAAAAATTAGCCAGGCATGATGGCATGTGCCTGTAATCCCAGCTACTTGGGAGGCTGAGGCAGGAGAATCGCTTGAACCCAGGAGGCGGAGGTTGCAGTGAGCCGAGATCGCGCCACTGCACTCCAGCCTGGGCAATAGAGAGAGACTCCATCTCAAAAAAAAAAAAAAAAAAAAAAAAAAAAAAACATTTGTTTTGTACCTTGTAGTTATATTTAGGTTGAAATTTTTAATGAGGATTTCATCCCACTTAACTGGGCACAGTAC